CCCACCACCACCACACACACACACACACACCTCCCCAGAGTCGACCGAGGAAATGGGGAACTTTAGCCTAACCGCCCCCCCCCGCACCCTCGACTCTGCATGACATACACCCCCCCGACACCCCCAGATCTGCAGAGCCCGCTTGGCAGTGCCCTCGCGGCGCTCCCGCACAGTCTGTACCCCTGAACCCCAGAGCCGGGGGGGGAAAGCAATCCCCCCCCAGATTCCAAACACACACACACACACACACAGCCTGCCCCGAAAGGTGCATCTGAGCAGCACACCCACTCCCCCTCCCCACCGCCCGCACCCCGTCCCAGCCCACCCCACCCGGCACCTGCAAGCGGCTGCGATCGCGGGCTCAGCAGGGGACCGAGGACGAGGAGGAAGAGGAGGAGGAGGGCTCCGGGGGCGGCGGGCAGAATCCGCTCCGGGCACGCGGGGCAGACGCGGCGCGCCAGCTGCAGCCGCTTCAGCTCGCGAACCTCCAGCATCGCCAGTCCGCTCTCCGGCAGCGGATTCGCACCCCGGGCCGGGGGCGGGCGGGGGGGCGGGGCCTCACCATCGGGCCCGCCCCCACCCTGCTTGGAGAGGCAGAAGGAAGACTGGAAGGGAGGGAGGGCGGCCGGGGGGGGGTAGTGGGGGGGGTGGAGGCGGGAAATGCGCTTCATTGAGGTCGTAAAACTGGTTGAGACCACCTGGCCCCAGGGCTCCCTGAGACCCTCAGATTCCTGACCCTGCAACAGGGGCTTGGAGCGTCCTTTTCTAGCCCCATTGTAAGGAGTATGAAGAAGGAAGTTGGGGAAAAGCCAGAGTCCTGCCTGAAGGTAGTCTGGGGGGGGCGGGGTTCATTCGTGGGGCTGAGGAGCCACGGCTACAGCAGGGACACGCGGGGGGGGGGGGGGGGAAGAGGGGGAGGGGGGGAGAGAAGAACCAGGGGTGTCCAGATCCCCTAAACCTGATCCAGAGCAAGGTGAGGGCAAGGCTCAGAAGAACCAAATGGAAATTGCTAAGTTATATCCTAGCCAGGAGCTATAAAACACACAGGTGTGTGTGTGTGTGTGTGTGTGTGCGCGTGTGTGTGCGTGTGTATGCCTGTGTCTGTGTCTGTGTAGGCAGACAATGGAGACTGCCCTACCGTTAATTCTTTCAAGGCCAAAGCCTTCCCCAAGATTGAATTCCAGCCAGGGTGGCCTGGCCCACACTGCTCTCTTTTGTATGGATGGGTCTAAGTTTCTTTCTCAAATTATAATAAAAGTCACCCTCTGGTACGGTGTAGGCTCCTTTTGGATTCCCAATGTAATCACCCACAAACATATCTTGAACAGCATTACCCAGGTGGCCTAGGTTTGAAATATGGGGGCACGGGATAATTGCAAGCATCAAGCTGCTCCCACCTAGGCCCTGGCCTGTTTGGAGGAAAGCCACTCCGAACTGCTAGAAAGAAGGGGTTGTTTTTGTTTGTTTTGGGCTTATTTTGGTTGGTTGTAGGGCTTAAACTCTGGGCCTGGGCGCTGACCCTGAGCTCTTCACCTCAAGGCAAGCACTCTACTGCTTGAGCCACGGCACCACTTCTGGTTTTCTGGTGGTTCATTGGAGATAAGAGTCTCACAGACTTTCCTGCCCGGGCTGGCTTTGACCTGCGATCCTCAGATCTCAGCCTCCTGAGTAGCTAGGATGACACGCATGAGCCACCAGCGTCCAGCTAGAAAGAAGTTTTTTAATGAGGTCCTCCTTTGTTCATGGATCTAATACCTCACTCCAAAATTCCTGAGCACTATTTTGAAGCTGGTTCCCCTTCCACCTCACCCTTTCCAGGGAGCCTCCCAGAATATGGTCATCCTCAAATCGGCCATGCTGAGTTAGGCTCTCCTGCATGGCTACCCCCTGGTTGATGACAGGAGAGACTGTCCAAGTAAAGCTGGGGCTGGCACTGGGACTAAAAGACTTGCCTGAGAAATGTCCCCAACAAGGCCACTCAATATCTTCCTATAAGGGGCTGGGAAGGTGGCTCAGTGGTAGAGTGCTTGCCTTGCATGCATGAGCCCCTGGGTTCCATTCTGCAGTACTATATAAGCAGAAAAAGCCAGAAGTGGTGCTGTGGTTCAAGTGGTAGAGTGCTAGCCTTGAGCTGAAGAGCTCAGGGACAGCACCCAGGCCTAGAGTTCAGGCTTTTTTGACCGGCAAAAAAATAAAAAAAAGAAAATCTTCCTACAGAAAGGGTGGTGAGGTACTCTTGCCATTCTTCGCTGGCTTTGTGGGAAGAGGGGGAGCACGGGGGGGCAAAAGGGGGGAGCACACACGTGCTGGTCCTAGGGCTCGAACTCAGAGCTGTGGACACTGTCCCTGAGCTCTTTTGCTAAAGGCTAGCACTTGACTACTTGAGCTCCACTTCCAACTTTTTGTAATTAATTGCATATGAGTCTCATGGAGCCAGGCGCTGGTGGCTCATGCCTGTCATTCTAGCTACTCAGGAGGCTGAGATCTGAGGATCAGGTTTCAAAGCCAGCCTGGGCAGGAAACTCTGTGACACTCTTATCTCCAGTAAACCACCAGAAAACCAGAAGTGGCGCTGTGGCTCAAGTGGTAAAGTGCTCCCCTTGAGCTGAAGAGCTGTGGGACAGCGCCCAGGCCCAGAGTTCAAGCCCCACAGCCAACTAAAAAATATATTTTTTAAAATTTTTGTTCGATCATGGGGCTTGAACTCTAGCCTGGGCACTGTCCCTGTGCTCTTCAGCGCAAGGCGAGTACTCTACCGCTTGAACCACAGTGCCACTCAAAAATAATTTTTTTAAAAAAGAATTTCATGGGCCAGGCTGGCTTTGAACTGCTATCCTCAGATCTCAGCTTCCTGAGTAGCTAGGATAACAGCCATGAGCTACTGGCACTCAGCTTACGCTAGCTTTTTAAGTCATCTCCTCTAAGATTAGCTAATACCACTCTGAATTTCTGGATTCCAAGTAGTCTTGGTCATGACATCTACCCACCCACCCTCACGATTGGATCGAAATCTCCTGGCAAACAGGGCATATGGAAGACAGAGTGGTTTGTGTGTGTGTGTGTGTGTGTGTGTGTGTTTCATTTCAATATGCTCAGCTAATGTCTACAGAATGAATGAATAGCCTGACACTCCATCCTTCCTGCCATCTGCCCACTATCCTTAAAAACAATAGGCTTCTGAGTTGATTAGGGGAGCCCAGACATGCTTGCTGAACCCACATGAGCAGGTACACATTTTCTGTCAGTTCTTAGGGTCCTGACCATCCAAGCCTGGGGGCCCAGGAGAAGCTGGAACGGGGATTTGGAGGCGAGAGGAAGGGGTGGTTCCCTAAAGCCTTGCCTGCTGTTGGCAATACTCCACCTTTTGGTCCTATGTGAACGTGGGTGATAGCACGAGGCAGGATGTGTGTGCACACGTGTATGTGTGAATAGTCTGATGCCAAGGGAATGGTAACAGCACAGTGTATGCAGTGGTGCCTAGGGGCACGTGTTTCTGGGTTCAGTGCAGCCAGGCATGCTGGCTGGCACGTGTGTGGGGATGCTGTAGCTAGTTCCTAGAGCTGCAGGGCCCCCTTCCTGTCTGACACAAGCCTGAGGATTGTGGAGGCTGGATCAGCCGTGAGAGCAAGACAGGGAAAGGCTGAACTATGTGCAAGGGAGGGGGGGGGTGGGCAGGGAAGGTCTGTGATGACTGTACATCATTAGCTATTTCTAAGTTTCCCCCCTGGACAGTTCCTTGCTCTCAGGTGTGTGCATGAGGGCAATCTGAAGGCATGGCTTCTTTCTTGGTTTCCATTCTGGGAGACCCAAGCAGGGTAGGACCAACTTCAATGTTTGAGCTTCAGCCTCTAACTGAAGTAGGGGCTAGTAACACCAGCTAAATGCCATCCCTGTATCTCTTCCAGGCCACATACTGGGACAATTCCAAGCTTGCTTCCTACTTTTTCAGAGCTAGACAAGAGTCAGAGGACATAGCTTCTAGCTATCCACTGGCCCCAGAGATGGCCCCTAAGCATAGGGTAGAATTTGAACCAAAAGCCGAGGCAGTTGGCACGGACCAGAGGTCTCTATGCAAACCTTCCTGAAGAGAATTGTACCTTGACCATCCTGAAGAGAGGAAATATCTGGAAGGATAAGCTAGGGACGAGAAGGGAGCCCCAAATTGCTAGCAAATCAAAGGGGCAGAATAAGAGGTGAGTTTCAGTATCGGTAGAGCCTACAGAGCAGGCTTGAGCCTCATCTACCATTTCTGATACAGGATCCAGGATTTATTTGCCCTCTTTACTCCCTGCCCTAGGGACCAAAGGCCAGTCGCTCCCAATGTGTTACATTGGGGCTGGCTGACAGAAACCCCTACTAACCTAGTTAGAGCTCCAGCCAAGATGAAGACTCTAGGAGATACCTGTGTTAGATCCCCTAAGCATCCTAGGTTTGGATAAGTATCCTCCCTTAAGGTCAATGCATCCGATCCCTGGCCATCTTTGGAACTGCCCTGCTATTGTCTGTTGTTGCTGGCCTCAAGCCCCCAGAAGATGATCCAAGATGGGCGGGGGGAAGCCATCTTCCTTTTGGAGGTAGGGGAAGGGGCTGCCCCCCACCCCTACCTTATGACTCACTCTAGGCTGTGTGGGTTATTACATTATGTTTGAAATTGCTATGGCAACTAGCTGGCAATCAAGGGTAATTGCACTTGTTGTCAGGGCAACGGGGCAAAACCCACAGCAGCCATTCTGTGGTTGCCCTTGGGGTGTAGTAAAGGTCAGGCCAGATCCGAGCTAGTCCCTGTCAAGGGGCTTCAGGACCCTTCCAGGAAAAAGGCAGGTTGTCCGGATCTATGGATCTATCGACTTTGGAAGGAAGAGACAAGAACTTTCTATTGGGTCCAACTTGGGGAGAGCCAGGGCCCTCTTCCCTGACCTCATGCCCGCTTTCCCCCATGCTACTTTCTGCCTGAAATATGCAACAATCCTTTAAGCAAGCAGAACCAGAACTTTATGTGTTCATAGCTGGTACTTGTAGATAGCCCACGGGCCCTCTTCTTCGTACTCACGACGGCTGAGCCATAAACTCTGGAAGGAATTCCGGCATGCCATGATAGAGCCTCCCAGCCACGCAGCAACCGCGCGATGGGAAGAGCCCAGTACAGTAGCATCAGGCCCCAGTTCCTGCCTCAGACGCTCAGGAAAACCATTCACCAGGGTGCTGCCACCTTCCAGCACCACGTTAGCCAGCAGCTGCTGCTTCTGCTTAGCCTCTAACTGGCTAATGCTTAACAGAGCCAGCTGTGGGAGGCCTGGCTGGTTTAGGCCTAACAAATTGGGCTGGAAGAGAGCCTCAGGGCAACAGAAACGCTCAGTGCCCAGTGTGATGATCTGCTTATCTGGGAGCACAAAATCCACCCGGGCCTGGGACTGGGTACGAGCCATCTCGGCCTCCATATCCAGGGCCACGTAGCAGCAGGCCTCTTTAATCTGATTGACCAGTCCTGCCTTAGGTGGAGAGTGACCACTTGCCTGCAGCAACTGAGCCAAATAGTCCGTGAGGTCAGTCCCAGCCACATCTAGCCGATAGGTGTCAAGTGGGGCTAAATCCCCGGTAAGGATGGGAGCTACATAGGAAGTCCCATGACCACTGCCCAACACTAGCCCAGTGGTTCGCCCGTAAGCATAGAGTGTCAGCAGAGCCTGGTGCACTGTCTGCATAGCTGGCACGTGGAAACGCTCAAAGAGTATTTCAGCCACCTTTTCTCGATTGGTACGCGGGGAGATAGGGGAGTCAGCTACAAGCACAGCCAGCTGCTCAGGCTGCACCCCCAGCCTGCAGTAGAACAAATGCTGCCACAGCACTTCTAACGCGTCCCAGTCCGAAACCACGCCTCGGTTGAGCACTGGATAGGAGCTCTCTTGGTTTTCAGGCACTGTATACTGGGGCTGGCCCTGGCCCGGTTGCTGTAGCATGTGGACTTGGGAGGGTACCACACTGAGGACGTGGTCTTCTCCAGCCAGGCCACATTTGGTGAATCCTGTGCCTGTATCGATCACGATAGCTGCCATATTCTGGTAAGAGCCTGAAGTGTGGCGGTAGAGCACCGGTGACCGTACCGGCAGAACATCCATAGCGGATACCAGCTCATAGCAAGACCCACGGAGAAGGCCAAGATGTGCTACCACTGACGAGCATGTAATGTCTTCAGCTGTCAGCTTGAACTGATTCCCACTCTGAGGCTCAGTGCCCACGGGGGCCACAGGCACCACCTTGCAGCCAGTGCCCGGTGTGGCAAATGTGACCAGCGAAGGCTGATCCTCAGAGGCCCTGGGGGAGTTTCCTTGTTGCCAGGATGGAAGCTGATGCATGCTGAAGCTTTGCGCCCCATTGATGCCAACTTTACCTCTATTCACATAGAGATGGGTCTCCTCAGGGGCTAGGGGCGTGTGGAGTACCCCCACTGGGGTAGGCTGACCCAAAGCAGGCTTATCTTCCTTGATGGAGCTTTGGCTAGGTTCTCCAGAGGTGAAGTGCTCTCTTGGGAGAGTGGGTACTTTAGACATGGGTGGCTTTCCTGTGAGAGGTACCTGCCCAGTGACCGGAAACTGTCTGGCCAGAGGGGTCTGTCCAGTAAGAAGAGGCAGACTGGTAAAAGAGGATGCCTTGGTAGAAGGAGGCTGGCCAATCAGAGAGCCTTTCTCAGCTGTAGGTAGCTGTCTAGCAAGGAAGTTCTGCCCATTGAAGAATGTTTGCCCAGTGAAGGGGATCTGCCAAGCATCTTTAGCCTGAAGGTTCTCAGGGTGAGCTGTAATGACCTCTTTCTGGTTGTGACCATTTACATCCTCCTGGAGCAGAGATCCAGACACTACCTGGTTATTGGTTGATGGATCTGACTTCATCCACTGACATTTCTTGTTCTGGGCCATGGAGGGATCTGGCATCCTGGAGGACTCTACCATCCAGATGGTGGGAGTAGGTTCATTCTTTCCCGTGTCTGGTTTGGACCAGCTAAGATCAGGAATGTGGGTCACTATGCTTTCACCATATTGGCTGGGCCTCCCCAGTGGAACAGGCCGGGGGAGCATGTTCACCCTGATAGGTGTCTCAGTAGGGAGGTAGTTCTGCGATCCTAGGTTGTGACTTGCCTCTTTGGGGAGCAAGGCCACCTCTGGATAGCTACTAGAGGAGAGACTGGATGGCACAGGACTGGACAGTATGGCCGTGGTGGACCAGAGTCTGGAGTTGTTGCTGTCAGAGGAAAGAGCTGGACTGGCCGTTGGCAAGGTAGTGGGTCCGTTTTCAGGGACGTAGTTGGGTGGGTGGTTGGGCATGAGGCCCACCAGTACTGCCCGTGATCCCATAGGGTCATGGCACATCAGTCCCATCCTGGAATTGCCAGTGGCCATATCAAACACCAATACATGGTCTTCTACAGAATTCTGGAGCTGGCAGGTGGGGGCACTGGAGGTGGGGAGCTGCATGGCTGCCCCAGGTGTCTGGGGTGGGAATTGCTTCTGGCAGGTTGTGTGATAAGACAGTGATACACCAGAGCCATAATTATTGCCACTTACAGGAAACTGCTTGTCTGGCTGAGAGTTGGAGATGTTCTTGCAACTCTTCTGGGCCTTGACAGTCCTTGACTCTCGATCTGATTTGGGGATGCCTGGACTGAAAGCATAGTCCATGGACTTCTCTGCTAGGTCCTCCAATTGCTCAGCTGGTACTTGCTTTTTGGCACCATTGTATTCCTGGGTACACTGTGAGAATTTGGGGATCGATGCTGGGATGGGAGGCCCTTCGCTAGAATGGAAGTTCACTTTGTTCTGGCAAGATGTGACCATTTTAAAAGGCTCCAAGTTGGTGCACCATCGGTGGCTACACTTTCCACAGAGGTCTCTAGATGGGCCTTTGTTGATCGCAGTATTTTCAGTCAGGGGGTCCAGGGTATAGGTGTAAGGTTCAACTACAGCAGGTTTTGGAGTCTTTGGTGGAGCCGGAGTAGTAGCCTGAGCTGGAGTTGAACGAGCAAGTGATGGGGACGAAGGAGCTGTTGTTACAGCAGGAGTTTGAGCTGGACATGGGTATTTGTTCTGACCTCCATCTTGGGTTAGAGCCTGATCTGGAGCCTGAGATGGATCCAGACTAAGACGTTGGCCTTCACACATACCATTCTCTCCTGAGAGAGAGTAAGGCAGCCACCGACTCTTCCTGGGGCCCAAGGGGGTCACCTGATCAAGGTTGTAAGAACCTTTGCCCCAACCTATAAGGACTTTAGCCGGAGCCTTACCATCCTTCCCAATGTGCAGCTGAAGCCGAGAGAGGCTGGGTCCATATTGGATTGTGTCATTGGTGCCGTTGTTGCCTGTGTACACTGGTAAGGTGAGGGTCCCATCATCCATGATGAGATGCTGTTGGGCTTCCACTGTGGGGCTTGGGAATGGGTTAGTAGACGAGAGTCTCAGGGCATCCTGGGAGTCCTGCTCATAGTTACATGGGGAGATAACCTGAGCAGGGTCTTGGGGTAGTTGGTGAATGGGCTCAGGGATGTTGGCCTGGGAGGCTGGGCCACAGGCTTCATCAGAGATGGGTTCGACGGGCATTGACAACCCCTGCTGCAAGTATAGGGATCCTGAGTTTACCCATTGTCCCTGGGACTCTCTGAGGCCACCCCCTGGCTGCTGACTGCTGGGTGAGGGGTGGCCTTGGGGGCCCGATGGATCAGGGCCCCCCACCTTCTTGGTGGCTTCCATAGTCCTGTTCCATGCCCGAGGTGCCCTGCCCCCAGTCCATCGCCATGGCAACAGCACACATCACAGCCCCCAGTAACCAGGGGTGACGGAGTGTGGAGTGTGGGAAAACAGGGGCCCCACCCCATGGGGAGTAAAGAGGCCTGCTCTGGGGGCCTTGGGAGACAGAAAAACCCAGAAGTCCCAGTGAGGACAGCCAGCCTTTTCTCCTCCTTACCCAGACAGTTGATCACTGTGTCTAGACCAGACCCAAAGTGAAGGCAAGAGTACAATCAAGGATAGGGAGAGGAATCCCCTGGGTGTTGACCCCTTTGGGCCCACCTAAAGGTGGGGTGGGGGGAATTAAAGAGCCTTTATCACTTAGTCCTAGAAGATAGAAGAGGGTGAGGGGCCCAGGCTCAGGCCCAAGCTTTCCTCCCCTGTGTTCCATAGCTCCCTCTCCGGGGACAACAGCTCCTTGGCAGTCTCTGCTGCTCCAGATGGTTTTCCTCTGCCTGTGCCTCATAGAGCCCCCTCCCCAGAGCCACATGTCCCTGAAGCCTAGGACCAGTCTCCTGCAGGAGTGGGGATGGGGGCGGCAGAGGTGGGGGTGGGCCTTCCGCGCAGAATCCTTAAGTCAAAATATTCCAGCTCTTTGTCACATTGTGTCAATGTCATCTAGACTATAGCAGGAGCAGAGCACTGGGCACAGGGGCTAGGCCACCAGTGATCACAGGGTCAGCCAAGAAACAATTACAAGAACGGATAGGGACACAGTTGGGCACAGGGCCAGCCACACAGGAGGAGATGGGGGGCATGGAAGGTACAGAAATACTCCTTGCACACAGAACTATACGGTGCAAGCAAATACAAGTTAGACAAAGACCTGGATCTAGACCAAGTGAGCTTCAACCTCCATTTCTTAGGAGGCCAGACAGAGGAACAGGGAGCAATCGAATCTGCCCCAGGGGCTCAGAGCTACCCTGCAACCAAGACAGGCCTAGGTGGCAATTCAGAGAGCCATCCATTGCCAGCTACCTAGCTCTGGAGGTTCTGCCGGAAGCAAAATGAGACCCTCCTTCCTCCCTTCCGCACGCCCCCCCCCTCCATTTCTCCCTCCTATCTCTGAGCTCTGAGCCTGCCTTCTGGCTCCTCCAGGGATGGATCCTTCCCTTCAGGCCTCAATCTTCCCACCTAGGAAAAAGGTATTGTGGCCAATGCAGCAATAGGCTTGTCGTCCATATCGGTGGTGTTTTCACAGAGATTAAAAATAGTGTTTACAGTTGGCCATGGGGGTACACAAGGCTGTGTGACCAGGGACCAAGGGTAGCGCTCTGCTACATTTGCATCTTTCTGATTCAGCACTGGGCAAAGCCTGACTCATGCACATCTCAAGCCCCCTGGGTCCCACAATGCAGCTTTCAGTAAAGAACAGGAACAGATAGCTCAGACACCAAAGAGCCTCGCTGCTTAGCCTCGTGCGATGGCCTTGTGCACGCTGTACTCATTGTGTGTGCGTGTACTTACGCACACATGTACTTGGGGAACACTGTTAACTCTGCCCAAGTGAGCTAGTTGGTTTTTTTTTTTTTTTCATATCAGAGATGCTAGTAGCTGTGTAGCATCAGAGCTAGGCTGTATCTGGGAGGGCTAGAGAGAGGCTCTGTGATACCCCACCATCACCACCACACACATACCTGTCTAACCACTTAGCCTACCTTTACTGGACACAGAAGTAAAGCATAGCCTTCCTTTTCTGAACTGGAATTCTTTGTGAGTAACTGGTAGCCTGAGGTAGCCTGGAAAAAGAGAGTAAACCAGTTGAATGGTCTTGCTCAAGCAAGAAAACCCCAAAGAAGCAAGAGACAGGCCAGGTGTTGGTAGCTCATGTCCGTAATCCTAGCTACTCAGGAGGCTGAGATCTGAGGATCGTGGTTCAAAGCCAGCCTGGGCAGGAAAGTCCAGGAGACTCTTATCGCCAATTCATCAGCGGAAAACTGAAAGTGGTGCTGTGGCTCAAGTTAGAGCGCTTGCCTGGGCTGAAGAGCTCAGGGATAGCATCTAGGCCCTGAGTTCAAGCCCCAGGACTGGCGCGAACTAACTACATGAATAAATAACAGTGATATTAATTAGATTCTTCCTCTGTGCTGGTGCAGTCTATAGAGCACATGAAACCTAGCCTGACAGCAATTCAATGAGCTGTGCAGTAGGGGTACTTTATTATGATGAGAAAGAAATCGAAGGGCTGGGAAGGTGGCTTAGTGGCCTTGCATGCATGAGGCCCTGGGTTCCATTCCTCAGCACCACAGAAGCAGAAAAAAGCCAGAAGTGGTGCTATGACTCAAGTGGTAGAGTGGGCTAGCCTTGAGCTGAAGAACTAAGGGACCACACCTAGGCCCAGAATTCAGGCCTATGACCTACAAAAAGAAAGGAAAGAAAGAAAGGAAAAGAGAGAGAAAGAAATCAAAGTCCAATAAAGGGAGAGAGGGTTGTCATAGCTAATATATAACAGAGTCAGAACCTGAAGCTACAGTATCGGGCTCATGCCAAGACATGAGTCCTTCTGGAAAGGAGTCAACAGGCTTCCAGATGTTGCAGGGCCCAACCCTAACCCAAGCTATGTCTTTCATCAACCTGATGGCTTATTGCAGGAGGGACTCAGGCCCTGGAAGGAGTGCGTTCCTTGTTTCCTTGTTAATGGACACTAAGCCTCCTAGAAGTCTGATGATAATAAGTATGGAGCAGCTGCATACCCTTTAAGGCCAAGCTAAGTCCTTTGTACTCAAAATTCTTGGTTAGCTAAAGCCTGTATCTATCTCATCAAGCTGAGGAAAGGGTCTTCAGGGTAAGTTAAAAAAAAAACCAAAAAACTCCTAGTCTGGGCTCCTTTTGCCCATCCCCTGGAGATAGTGCCCCAGTACCCTTCCCCCTCCCATCCCCCACTTGTTTTTAAATAGTCTCTCACCAGGAAGAAGGGCGTCCAATTCTATTTCTGATTCTAGGAAGTGAGGAGGACCAAGGTGTTGCTATGGCAACCCAGAGAGCCCCTCCCCCCAGGCTGAGCCCATTCCCCAGGCTGAAGGCTATAGAGTGGAAAGAGGGTAGCAAGAAGATGTTGGAAGGAGTTCAGTCAGGGTAAAGCCAGAGGTTGTCTCCCCTAGAGGTGGGGGCGGTGTGGGGGGGTCACTATTGCCTTCCCCCCTCACACTTCACCTTATCCTCCAGACAGGCACAGGGAAAGGCCCTCATTCCTGGGTTAGTGTCAGGTCACCCCAGGAAATCCTTTTCTTCTGTGGATTAAGCGTCTACCCTGTTGTGGAGGATACCTGGTGATGGTAAAAAGATGGCAGAAAAAGGGCCTCAAAGGGAGAGGCACGGAAGGTTTGCAAAACTCTTTGGCCTATTCTGCCAGACCGCGCATCCAATACAGGCCTATTTTGGGCTCGCTTGTGTACTTAGGAGGCAGATACTTCTGTCAGGTCCTTGATTCTGCACTTTTCCAGTCTACCTTCTACTTTCAGTGCTCTGGGCATGCTTCTGTACATCTCCAGAAACCTCCGGTGAGAAGTAGCCTGCAAGGCTTGACAATTGGGTTGACAATTGGGTTGACAATTGGGGAGACTTGTTCCAACAATTGGGGAGATCTGTTTCCCTAGAGGTGTTTCTATACCAGCTCTCGTGCCCCGTCCCCCACCCCCGAAGTTGCAGATGTGGGTAGCAGAGTCTGTGGAGGAAGGGTAATCCATTCCAAACAAAAGCAGGCTCTTGAAAAGACCCAAAAGGATCCTGGGATCTAACCCTTTCTCGATGTTTATAGGAAATGGAGGCCCCCCAAGAAGAAAGGGCTGTGCTCCAGGTCTCCTAGTTCTGTCTCCAGCACTGTGTGCCTTTCTCTCCCTCATACTCTTTCTCCTCACTGGAGCTTCCCAAAGGATCTGGGAAGCCTAGACTTTGCTTTCCTGAAATTTCTCCTAGCTAGGATAATGCACCCATTCCACAGAGGCAGTGTTTTGTTGTCAGGGAGCTGGCACCTCCTGTTCCCAACAGGAAGACAGCCAGAGGCAAAGAACCCCAACCCCGAAGGAAGCTATGGCAGGGTGAAGGGAGATAATCCACTCCTAATCTAGGATATAGAAGAAACCACTTGTACCAGGAGGATACAGCTTCTGAGCTCTAAGGCATAGGGAAATTTAAATAACAGATGTTTAAACAACCTTCCTTGCAAGCCGGCAGTGCAGTGACCCCTCTGCTGTGATGTGTTGCAGCTTAAAAATAGCCCACAATGAACTGCTCTGAGCCCCAATTGACTCAAGCTTACGTAACTCTGCGTGAAAGATAGCCAGCCGCACCAAGCCAGAGGGAAGGCAAGAGCCTAGCAGCCCTGTCTGCGGTTCACAGCTGTCTTTAGGGGCTGGATGAGCTCTTCAACCCCCCCCCCACAGGGAGCAGCCCTCCATCCAGGATCTAGCATGAGTCGGGTAGAGGTGGGGGTGAAGGGGATGTGAGGTGCTTCAGGAGTGCCAAGAAGAGATTTCTAACTATACCTGCAGAGGGAATGTGAGAAGAATTACCCTCCCCCCCCTCCACTTCAGGGACCCTATAGAACTCAGGTCTAATGACAAAAATAGATGCATGGAGCCAAGTGCCAGTGGCTCATGCTTGTCATTCTAGCTACTCAGGAGCTGAGATCTGAAAATTGTGGTTCAAAGCAGCTGGGGCAGGAAAGTCTGTGAGACTCTCGTCTTTAATTAAACACCAAAAGCTGAAAAGTAGAACTGTTGCTCCAATGATAGAGCACTAGTCTTGAGCACAAAAAAAAAAAAGCTCAGGGACAGCACCCAGGCCTTGAATCCAAGCCCCAAAATGGGCACCAGAAAAAAAAAGACTGAATCAAAGAGACTAGGGTACTGTCATAATGTCAGGGTAACATTTTACCCTTTAAAGGGGGGCTTTCTAGTTTGGTCAGATACATCAGCAAGACACTTTTTTGGGGGGGCAGTCTTGGGGCCTGAACTGTTGGCCTG